CATACAGCAACAACAAATATATGTTGTAACAAGCACATTGAAATGTGGGTTCTAAAACGTATTTGCATATTAGATTTTTGTTTAGTATTTTTCTTAAATATTTTTTTAAAATATTAAAAAAAAATTTTTTTAAATTTTTATCAGTTTCTTACCATAGTATTTTAGCATTGATGTTAAAGCGTTATTTTCGAATAAATCATAATTGAAGGCAAATATTTTGTAAATGATACGGTGGCAAGAACTATTAAGAGCGATTGGCGTTGTCGCGGTTTATACTAAGAAACAAAACAAAAAGTATTCAGTATGCAATTTCAGTGGAAATTCAGTTTATTTAGCATATACGTTTTCAAACGTTTATGATTTTTTTGCTACACATAATGTATTAGTTACCAAGCGCTATTTTTTATTTATGAGTTCATATTTAACACTTGTCAACTGGTTTGCATAGGTATATGATTTATGCGCGTATTCGAAATATGTTGTTTACAAACGAACTTTACATGTATCTATACTTATATTTATCCACGCTTGCATGTAGAGTAAGACAATGGCTGAAGTCGCATTCACAAAAGACTTAAGCGCCAAACTTGCTTACAAAAAGGCTATGATTTCCGTAAATATTTTATGTGAATTTACATAAATATAGGAAATATCTCTATATATCTTTTATACTAGTTGCTGCATTTATTAGCATAAAATGCTTTTTGGTAGCACGTGCTGTCATGCGCGAAGTCTGGCATTCCACACTTAACACTTCGAACAAAATGCAAATTAGTGAGCACTTAAGAAAGCGGAATGCAAGCAGCCAAATAAAAAAGTCAGTATAATCTAAGAGTGGTAGAATAACATATTTGAAAGGTTAATAAATTTTCTAATAAATTTCTTGAATAGGAAAGAAAATAAATATTGGAATTTTATAAGCATTTTGATGGTATCAAGTCCATATTCTTAATAAAGTCTTTTCTAAAGAGAAGCAATTTTTTCTGAGCGATAAATCGCATTCCCAAATATTCGTTTGATTATATAGATGTTGTCCAAATCCTCTCTGATTAAGATCAATACTTTCCCTTTGCCGTTCTGTCAATCTTGAAATCGCAATGAATTAAGAAACTTTTCTCAGAATAACCGTATTTACTCACCAAATTGGGTTTAGGATGGCTTATATCATACCTAGCACTTATAAATAAAATATCCTTAATTGATATCACTAGACACACATTTGTTATTTTTCCTTCTATTCTATAGGAGTATGTCAACTTATTTAGACTTAATTTACGCAGTTCACTAAAACTACTTAATAAATGGTAGTACATACTAGTAAGTAAAGCATTTCCCATTAAAGACCTTAAAAAATATTTATAAATGTATACATACATAAGTAAGAAAAAACTCAAAAGCTGAAAATTAGCCCATTGACCCCTCTAACACTTAATATGGAAGTTTAAGTACCAAATAGTGAATTATTTCCGAATAGCCTAATTAGTTTACTTTCCATAACAAATTTAGCATTTTTTCTTGCAACTTTGCTAAGATTTGCAAAAACAAAAAAAAAAAAAAATAAAATGCAGTAATAAGTACTAATCGACTAATATTCCCACTTGGAGCTTGGGAGCAAACATCAAAAAAAAAATATGTGTATTGCGCCACAAGATCCCAATTAATAAATACGGTCGCGCTAAAGTTTAGAATTCCAGTCTGTCTGGCGCTGTTGTTGTTGCTACTGAAGTTATTGTAGCCACCGATGTTATTGTTGTAACTGGATTTGTTTTTGTTACCGACATTATTTCTGCCACCGACCATATTGTTGTGTCCCGCCACCAAGTCGACGACGGAGACAACAACAGCAAAAACGCCATAACAACAGGCACATTGTCAACATACACAACAACAACAACAAAGTGGCACAGTGACAAAAACAGCAAATCACAGTTGAACGAAAAAGCTCCTGGCAGTGCAAAGCGGATGCAAGCTCAAGTCTATGCGCATGCGCATGTGTGTGGTAGTTAGGCAAGTAATAGCTGCAAAAAATCCCCTGAGGCAATGTTAATTGCATTATTTTCTTTTTTTGAAAGTTTGTTGCTTTTTTCCAATATTTCTGTGTGGTTTTACGTTACGGTATCAGTGGAAATTGTGCCACGACTCGTTGTCAATTAAAATCCTGCCCTTCTAATACCAGAAGCGACTTGTTTGCTTGTGTCGGCGCTGTTGTTTGTTGGTACCTTGAATTTTTTCTTAATTTTTTTTGTTTATATCCGTTTTTTTTATTTTTATCGTCTGCAGCATCTAGAAATGGGTTAAAGTAGGCAGCTTGTGTTTGTGTGTGTGGGTTTGCCTCTTCTTTCTTTGTGCGTATACTATACATACAAATAAATGTATGAACATACGCTGAAATGCTTGATATAATTGCATACACAAATATTCCTAGAAGCCTGCGAAATATCATAGAAATTGTACGTAGTTAGCCCTTTTCTGGTGCTTAAGGGGTCAGTAGGGTGATCTGGCCTGTTTTTTGACATTTGTTTTCGTAGAAATTTTTAATTTTTTGACATATCATGAGGTATATCGTAGAGTGTATAAACAAATTTTTTCGAAAGTTTTTGATAACGTCTGTCGGAGAAATAGCTAGGTGAATGAGATGCTTTTTTTCACTGAGCCGATTTCTCATGTTTGGATCTGAAACACAAAAACCCAATTTATTCTTAAAATATATAAGGTTATCATCTCTACTAGAATTATAAAAAAATATTGATAAATAAAATAGTAATTAACGTTTTCTGTGTTTAATTTTTCCCCATATCTCTTTTACATAAATTTTGTCATAACATTGTCAATAAATTATAAAAAAAAAAAAATGAATCTAGTAGGGACGATAGCTAGGCGTTTTGTGGACATTTGAAAAAAATTAAGCAAATCGGTTGAATAGTTTGACCGGAATCATGTTCGCCAGTTTAAAAAGTGTGTTTTGAGAAAAACGCATTTGAGGAGTGCATTCCGAAGGAATAGTAAAGATATAAGATTTTTTCTTTCACTTTAACTTTTTTTCTACACCCAAAGAATTGTGGTTTAGAAGTTAAGTAGTCTTCCTCCTAAAATGCCACGCGCAGCCAAATACAACTTACTACAATCGTCCTTCATTCAGCTAGCCATTGGCTCATTAACTGCGTGTATAGGCATTTGTCGGCATTTTCCAAGGGGCTTTTTTGCTATGTCTTGATTTGCTGTTTAACGTGCGTCGAGCGTTGTGATCCAACATCAAGGCCAACAGCGACTTCATCTTTGTAGATTTTTTGTTCTCCCTCCAAATGCAACTCCTTTATTTAATTCGATTTCTATTTACCTCTTTTGTGAAACACAAGCTAAAATAGTTGTACAAATATGCCTGAAGTTGTTTTTTCATTTTCTACTTAAATGAGTAATTTTATACAATACTCCATTTGTTCGTGGGTTGGTTCGTGTCTTTGCTGTGACAGTATAAACACAAATTTTAAGCACTAAGATTCTTAAATGAATGTTCAAAACATTAAAAAAATTTTCTAATAATTTCTGATCTATGCTTTTGAAAAAATATTTTAACATTTAAAGTAGCTAACTCATCCAAAAATATCGTTTTTTATGCCGATACCCACACCCAAAATCACCTTAGATTTGTACCTAATAAATAAGAGATTTCAACTATACGATTACAAGTCCTAATATGCCTTATAGGTCTTTTAAAGTTTTTATTACTTAAAGGTTTATATCCATTTCCAAATCAGTAAAACGAGTTTCTGGAAAATTTTTGAGAGACATTTTATTCAATGAATTTAATAAAATTCAGTGACAGGCTATTCACTTCAAAAAATTTTGGATTCCTCTGATTCCGCAGTCAATCTCCTGGATGACTTTCGGCCACAAAAGTCGTTTTTTGAAAAAAAAAAAAAAATTACAATTCGAAGTGACTAAAAATATAAAAATTATAACCAAAATCATTAGCTGTCATATAAATATACTTTTTAAAATTTCACGACTCTTTCTCTAGCCATTTGGGAGCTATCTTGCTCACCAACTATGAAAATAGCGCTTCTAGGAAATCGAAATATTGGTAGAATATTATAAAAAAATAAATTTTTTTAATTCATAAGTGGATATAAGATCTTAAAATATTCTCATCACTTTGCAATGCCCTCCACTAAAATATCAAAAAAGATACTTAATTACCAAAATGACCCTCTACTTTCCACATCAGTTGCAAAGACTTTAAATGTATACGTATGTATGTGCATATACAGCCAACTTCCGCAAACACCACATATTCGTTGACTTCATTGCTTGCAAATCAAAAACCGCGTCGTACTGACTTTAGCACAACTTATGCGCTTAAAATTCCAAAGTTCAAACATGTTCCAGCACTTTGGCACTTCTCGATGCAAAAGCTCAATATTTATACTCCCTACCTAAGTATTGGCCGTGCTTTCTTACCACACTGTCCCGTGAGTCTTGCTCAACCTCCAATCGCATATGCCCAACACTTAGTGCGCTGCTCTCGTTTACAAATTTGCAAATATGGCCAGCCACGCACATTTCACTTGCCATTCAAGCCGAGTTAATTTATCTTAATTGCTGCAATGCCAACATGTAATTTTCCTACAACTGCTCCACCTGCAATGCATAGTAATGTCTTGAGCTTGCGCGCCACTGCGCCATAAGCCTTCAGCTACAATGCCCGCATTTTGTTATTTTTGTAGTTGTTCTTAATGATGGTGCCACTGGTGCATGTGTACAACAGTCACTTTACCATTTTTAGACATTTTCCTGTCAGCATCTCGTTTATTGTATTCGCTCCGATTTTCTAAAGTGAAAAAGTTTATTTGCCCAGCATTTTTCCCTTGCAACCTCACATCAACAAAGATACATACTCATACATATTTTTTTATGGCAGTATTTCTAATATTTCTTCCATTTTTCACGTTTGGTTAATTCCTTTCATTGACTTTGTTATTATTGTTGCTGTTTCTTTGCAGAGCACTCCGGTCGGCACGACGATTTCCGCCACATTCAGGCGCTGGACAAGTATGCTGGTGTTAATGGACTCGTCGAGTATTTTATTGTTGAGGGCAAAACAAACACAACGGAAGATGAGACAATGACAATTGCCGATGGTTATGTTACATTTCCAATTTCCTTTCCCCATCAAGGACAGGTGAGTGAGTTAGGCAATTGCAAAAGTCGGATGTGCAAATCAATATATGCTTTTCTAGTTTCTTTTTTAGGAAGAAATAATTTATTTGCTTTGTATGCAGTATAGGTTTATCTGAAGAAATTACCCGAATACCTAAAAATATACGCTTTCTTTTCTGAAGTATATAAATTGCATTCGGCTATTTTTGCAATGGGTGAAAGTATTCAGCAAAGAAGTTCCATTAAACTTTGGGTGCGAAATTAAATTTCTGGTGCCGAAATGTTCATAATCTTAGAAAAGGCATTGGATGAAAATTGTTTGTATCGAGAAAGTGGTCTTGATTGGTTCAAAACTATTTGAAAAGGAGCCCTGAATTATGGGCCGATAATTGTTGTTTTCTGCACCATTATAAAGCACCGTCGCATATTGCATTGATCTTCGTGATTTTTAGACAAAATTTTTAATGAATATTGTACCGCGTGCAACATATTCCCCGAATTTAGTTCCATGGATATTCACCAAATTCTGGAAAAACTATTTTGAGTCAATTAAAGATATTAAAACTGAATTCGTACGCGCATTGAATGCGATTCCGGAAATTAACTTTAACAGCTGTACCAACAATTAAAAAAAAAAAACGTTTCGCATAAGTGTACTAGGGCCGCAGTGGATTACTTTCAGGGAGACAGCATAGATTTTGAAAAAATAATTAAGAATTTTAAAATTATCAACAGCGTCTTACTCTTTTTTGCTCATAGTAGTATATACACCTTCATACGCTTACTGAGCCAAAGTCTTGTATTTACTTAATGTCCAATAAATCAATTTTAAACTAAACCATTTGTATATCAATAGATATTGTCTTAGAATCACTATTGACATTTCCAGATTCAAATCACAAAAATAAAGGGGCAATAAAATAAAGAGCAAATAAAAATATTTCGAATTTTTTGAGCAATAAAAGCATATTAAATGGAAATTATTTTTATTTGAGGTTAGCCAACTGCAGCACAGTGGAGGGTAATGCCATGTAAATGGCGGCAATAAATCTGGTCACATTTGTATCAATGAATTCTTGAACAAAAAACAAAATCAAACAGCAGCAAATAACAATAGCAACATACATATATATATATAGTAAAAATAGCAATGCAAATAATAGCATATAAGAAATATATGTGTATATTTATCACACATACCGGTTTAGAGTCGTGTAGCGTTGTTGGCCATTCATCTGGCAAATTTATCTACAACTTTGATAGACAATGTGCGCATTTGTGGTTGCTTATGCTGCTGCATATTGCTGTCTGCGCCAATGCATACATATACACACATAATATATGTTGGCCTTCCTCTGTCATTCTTTGTCAGTATCCGATGCAATCAATCAAATTGCATACCAGACTCATTTAGAGATTTGTATATATGCAAATAAAAAAATTTATTAAAGGCAAAGTAAATAAATATTATACAGCATGCAACACGCCTCAAACGCAAAAATGTATACATTATTTATTCGTCAGCCATTAATACACATACATATCAATAAAAATTTATCTGAGTAAAATAGTGCGCTTTAAATGAAAAATAACAAATACACATCTACAGATTTATATTTGCAGGTGACTGTCGCCAAAACGCTGGCTTACGAGAAAGCGCAACGTTATTATCCAACAATCGTCGCAGCGGTAAGTAACGCGTATGCTCAGCGCGCATTTTAGTTTCCAATAAACATTCTGCACAAATATTGATACAAACTTGTTAGCAGTGAGGTTAAGTGCAATTCATAAAATACTAACGAAGAAATATTGCTGTTGACACATAACTGATATAGCAGAGGAACACAGAGACGTAGATATATATATACCTAGAAAAACACAATCGTAGAGCTTTAGAAGAAAACACTTTTGGAACTAACATTTCTCCCTACATGTATAAATACATATTTTTCTTGTTAAACACCAACTTTCTTTTTCCTTCATTCTTTCACCCGTTTCCAGCTTAAGCATTCACTTCCTACACTCCTTGCTGGCACGTTAAGACAGTCACACTGCGCGCTTACAGCAGAATCTCATAAATCGCTGGCTGTTGGAATGTAATCGCTTCATTGATCCGCATTGTACCGCATTGTATGTGACACCGTGTCACCGTTGAGGCTTTTGTAACTTGATAGCGACAGCTTAGACTGTTAAGTCTGTGGTGAGCCAGTGAACCAAACAAACCATTTCACAAAATCACAAAAAGTACATGGAAGACTGAACTGAGGTCTCTCTTTGCAGATACTTGTAATTATACAAGCCCTTTCCATGCTTCTAGAGTTTATAACATCGCATTGCTGTAAGATTGCTTTAATAGGAATTTTTATTATTATTCAAATGAACATTTTTTGGCATTTATTTTCTGAAGATTAGCTCTTTAAAATTTTGGCCGCGACTGCGTCACAGATGGTCAATCCATTGGGTAAAATTTTTGGTGACCAAGACCTGAATTGAAGCGAGATTGCATGCATAGGCTGCAGACCACAGGAAAGAGTATATCGGTGCTATATCACATGATCTTGGTGGCCAATCGACCCGAATCGATCGAGAAATTATTTGCTCACCGAAATGTTCTCTCAATAAATCCATTGACTGATGCGATGTGAGCGAAGTGGAGCCATCTTGTTGAAAACAAGTGTCGCCATGATCACGAGCTTCAATTTCCGGCATCAAATAATCGGCTATAATGGCGTGATAATGGTCGCCATAGGCGGTTACGGCATCATCACGGTCACCGGAATCATTTTTGATGAAATATGTATCGATTATTCCACCAGCCAACAAACCACACCGAACCGTTTTTCTTGACAGTTCTTGAATCTCTTTTAGTTGCGCTTGTCTCAAATATGACAATTTAGATTGTTTACATACCCTTTAAGTAAGAAATGTTCCTCATCGCTGAACAAAATTTGTCTCAAAAACTTTGAATCTTCTTAGAACTTTTCAAGAACCTATAGAACGAAGCGATGTCGCTTGGTAAGATCGAGGTCCAGGGTCTTCGGGAACACCTTCACGAAAAATATTGCCCACATTTTAGGAATATTTTATATCTGATTAAGAATCAAACACGCAACATAAAAAACCTCTTATATTCCACAAGACAATTAAAAAAATTCATGTGACAGTCGTTTTTTGAGCACTGCTTCTGGCAACGATAATCATTTGTATGCTTAAGCTGGTCAAGTGGCAAGCGCCAATTTCTTCGAATGGCAAAGGTACGCACCAAGTTCAGTGAAAAGGCGCGAGTCTATTAATTTCCGATTAAAATGGTGCGAGTTGCCGTTAAGAATAGTCAGTTGGTTAGACGAATGTTGGTGCGATGTAAAATATGTATGACGTTTATACAAGCTATTTACAAATCTAAATAAGTGGGTTTAGAATAATCACGTTTAGAATACTCATGTCTGAGTGAAGAAAATTAGTTGCATTGTGGGCCGCCAGCCACAACCCACTTCCTCAAACAGACTGCCAACTAGAAAACGAGTGGGATTATTTATCTCTTTTATAATATATGTATCCAGTATATAGTATTACCATTATATGGTATAACAGCTGAATAACTGTTTGTTTGGCAAATTAGTGCTCGGTTTGCCAATTTTATTGGCTCGTTATTAATTATTGTTTTATTTAGTTCTTAAATTTCATTATACCCATTGTTTGCTCATGTAGTGAGATTATGACTATGAGCAAATAACGGTGATTTTTGGTGGCGTACGGAAGATGTATTGTTCTGGCTATGATTATATGAATGTCGGAATAATTAGAATAAATCATTTCGCTTCCGCATGACAACCTGTTTATGCATTTTATACACATTTCAATACAAGTTTTTATAAAACCAACAACACTCAGCAGTTTTATTAATGCAGTAAAGTTTAATATTTCAATAAAAATAAGAAAAAAATGTTAACTTCGGCTACAAAACGTTAGAGAAAATCTTGGTTGGGCATATGAGGGCCACAGCACTTCTATGGCCATTTTTGATTAATAAGGTGCTAAGGATCTTTGACGGCAAAATACTTAGATAGTGGCATATACGAACGATATTGCCATTGTCTTAATAATTGATCAGTGTCAACACACCATTAGCTGTATTATGATCATCACTCTCAATACGGTCCAGAATGGGACATGGCAAAGGGCTCTAAGATTCAATCCGAAGAAAATAGATCCGTGTTGACAAGAAAATACAAAATTCCTCTACGCATTTCATTAAATGGGACACAAGTCTCCTTCAAGCACGGCACCACCTTAATAAAAATAGTGGTCTGATCTGAAAAATTTATTGTGCGGTACTACCTAACCTTAAGTTAAGTCTTATGACTCGACAACTACTAAGCCAATTTTAACCAAATTTTGTACATGATATCCTTAAATTAAAATTTGTCAGAAAGGAAGATCGAATAGCAACCAGGTCCACTTACTTCACGTGATTTATATGATAACTAAAAATTCTCTATGAAAATATCAATGAAAACAGAAAACATTCTGAATAAAACTTTTAACCATAATTCTCTATTAAAAGTGGTTTGAATTAGACTTTAACCTTATGAAAACTCCAGAAACCGAATATGAGGACTTCAATGTCTATGACTAACATGTTACCAAAAATATCGGTTTACAGATTAACCTGTCTCAAATATATTTAGAGGGCTAGTTTTGCCTTGATTTCATGTCTGGTACAAAAATTGTTCATATCGGTTCTAAGCCCCCCCAATCCTAACAATCCTAACCCTATATTTGTAATATTGAAATTTTCAACCATTTGGTTGACTTAACCAACCAACAAACTTTTGCATTGAACACCGGCAATTCGAGCAACAATAAATTGCGCTTTTCGGGCATATAAACTGACATTAATTATAACAAATTATGTTAACTCCCGTGCGCGATAGTATGTGTGCCATACCTTTGGCAATTCCGTGTGTGAGTAATTTAAAAATTTGAATTTTTGGTTTCAGAGAAAAAATTTAACAAAAATTTTATGACTTAACTGTCGAACATAAAAATAGAAAATGTTTGTAATCGCGTTGCCAGATTTGTAAAGAAAGTTGTATGCTAATTTGCGCGCAATTTTTGGCAATCAAATAAGTACGAGTACTTCGCGTATTCCGAAAATTGTGTGGTTGGCTGGAGAAAGGAGTTTTGAAAAAAAACAAAAAAAAAAAAAAATGTTGCCTAATGTTGAGAGGTCTTAATCGCAATCTAGATCTAATGTGTAGAAAACTTGTTATGCTTTTCTATTGGCGTTTTTGTATTATATTTCCAATATCATTACCAGTAGCCACCGCGTTTGCTCTCCTGTCACTATTTACAGCGTTATATATTATGCGCATGCGCACAAGAATTTTAACGAGATCTATAAGCGGATTGCTGGACTCAATGGGCATAATAAAATAATGTCGAAAACTGATTTCGAATATAAATGATGTAAAAAATTTGGCAATTGGATTAGTGCTAATAACGCATGCCAAGCATAGTAAATAATTATAACGAAGCATACATACTTACACACAAATACATATGTATACATGAGATATATCACACCAGCAGCGACTACAAGCCTATTATTTGCATTTATTCAATTTTATCTTAACATATTTACACAAAGTTTGTCGCTATCAGTCAATAAGTTATGGTAGCCTGTCTGTGGGTGTATGATAACTGCATAATGTTTGAGCAACAACTGAGAAATACAAATAAATTTTTTTTTTTCAAATGGCAGATAAGTTTTTGAGATTGGCTTTACTTGTCAGGTTTAAACTAGATTTTCTGCAAATGCTAGTACCATATGCCAAAAGAATATATTCAAGCAAGTTTCTCGACGGCTCCACTGATATGGAGCTACATGTGCGCATATCGAATTACGAAAGTTCGCATGCATATCCAATCGAACATGTGTATCTGTCACAATATAATTATAAGATGCATTACAGTAATAAATTTGGCATTATATCGTTTAAAGTTTTTCGAGCGTTTCATAAATATTATTATCTGAAGTGAGTTTTTCTTGGTAGAAAACTTAATTATAAGTTTATTTCTTTTTTCCGAGATAACTTCCTGATTTTACTACCTTTTTCATTTTGCCGAAAATATAAGTATACTATAGTCTCTGTGTAATAATCTATATATTTCATTGGAAATAATTTAATCGCTCAACTGCATTCATTTGGGATTAACTAATTAATAATTATCTTATTATTATAATACTTAATGTGATTACAAGCAGTCAAAAAAATTATACGCACTTAAAATTTATTCTCAAATTTACTCTTCTCAAAGAAGACTCAACTATTTGTCTTCAACTAATTTCAATACATATGTTCATATGTATATACATATGCTTAAGACTTTTGGTTGCCTCGAAAAATGCAAACCAATTACGCTTCATTAGTGCAAATACGTGTTGGCCCAGAGGCGTAAAAGATAATTGAACTACCAAGTACGCCCAGAGACAAAACGACAAAAATACAAAAATAAAATAGCAATGGCATGTAAAACAAATGTACACACATTGACAACCCTTCACCCACAAGCCCATTACCGATTCGAACTGACACTGCCTAGTGACTATCATTATTTGTTTTAATGATGTCATAATTGAGAGCCATTTGAAAACTATTTGTCATTTATTTACCAAAGCATCAAGCGCCGAACGTCAAGTGTCAAAATCGCAAGCGTGCTGACTGCTTGATGCTATCGTTAATGATTATGTTACCACTATCTTTTTTTATTTATTATTTTGCATTTGGTTTGTCTGCTGATGCTGATAATGTGACGCTGTGGGCATGTCTTGAACTCCAACATCAACGTGCATTACAGCGTCTTCAAGTAAATGTCATATTTTGGTAGGAGGGGCACAGATAGCTAGATATTTTCTATATATATATAATAGGTGTATGTTGACATGTCTTTTTGGTTTTTCTATCTATAAATACTGACTATTGGACATCGATGTGCATATATGCGTATGTATATTTATGCAGTTGTGTTGATTAAACTTAAGTTTCTACCAATGCTTATAAGTGTGTGCCGCTGAGATGAGTAATAGGCAACATTATTCCCCCTTACTGTATGTTATATCTACATGTTTGGTAGATTTTGGTTTTAATTTACAAGTGTTGCTAATTTCCAAACAAGTTTTAAAAATTTACAGCCTCTTTTTATTTGTAAATTTGTGGCACGAAATTGTTGTCGGGTGCTGGTGGAGCGCGGTAGTTCTTGCAGTATTGTCTGATTGTTTGTTGCTTACCAAATTTCCAGCTTCATTTTCCATGCTTACATTTTTGCATCGCTTTTTGTTGTACTCACGGATCTGCTAAATTGTTGCATAACCATTTCACAATTCGCAAAAGTGCCAGTACCAAGTGGCATGCTGATAAGATCTGCTCCGAAACGCTTAGCGACTTCATAAAACTTAAATAGGTAAAGACCAAAGAATAAGTAGAAAAGTAGTTCACAGCCTGCTACACGCCAATTTGCAATTTGCCGAACGACGCGCCAACAGCATTCGCGCGGCAAAGCGTACAATGTTTCAATAAACTGCAATTACTGCCACTTCCGTAGCGACCTAACGTTGAAGTTGAAGAGAGTTTTTAAATATCTGGCATTGTGTTTTTTAATCAAATAAATTGGTAATTTGTGTCAATAAGGGGTTACACGGGTTTCCTTGGGTAAAAAAAACTTTTTTTAAAAATATTTTCTTAAAATTTTTTATTGCTACAAGCATACACTATTAGCAAAGAAATCGTGAAAACCTGTGACCCCTTGAAAAAACGATGCGCCCGCGTTGGCAGAATAACTCTTTATAGGACGTGAATATATGTTTCATAAATTGCTTACAAAGCCAATTAGCGCTAATTGTGATATTGGACAAATTTTTATTGACATCAGTAAATACATGAGTTCGTTTTTTCTTTCAAAATAAATAATTGCGAAATAAATTAATCTTGTAAAATTAAGTTTGGATTTTATATATTTACATATATTTCGCAATACCAAAAAATAAGTTTATTATGCTAGTATATTTTTCTTTATTGGGTGATTATAAAGTACTTTTATTAGCTTACTAATTAGAAACTCATGGCTTTGCTTTTATTTTAGGTTTTCAGAAAAAGTAAGGTATTTCGAAATTTTTCATCTAGGAAATTTTTTTTTTTTTAGCTATATTAACTTGTCTGTTTGGATGCAAGATATACATCATAAATTATACATATTTTTTAACATATTTAGGGTATAATATTGAGAAGAGTTCTTCCTCTCATATCTCAGGGAGAGATAATTTTAAGATTCAATTGCATTAAAAGAATTTTGTATAACACTACCTTAACATGTTAAGTTATCTATTTTTTTTTTTTGAATTTATGTATTTTCAGTGGAAATACTAAGCAATAACAATAGCCAATTGATGAAATAGATAGGTGGCGGCAGCAGTAGCGCAAATGGTACTACCAGCGTCGGCGTTAGCACAACTGGCGATTGTGAGCATACTATACAAATAGTCCTACCAATGAACGCACCATCATCGGCCGGAATCTCCCGATTTCTGGCGTAATAAACGGCTCGGAAATTTTCTCTAGCCATCGAGTTCTTGTCACATATTTAAAATACCATACAAATAAAATCCGAATGTTATTACATACTTGACGCCACGGCAACGAGCTGAGCTTTTTCCGCCAGGAGGCGATGCCAGAAGTGTGTTTAGGTAATGCCTGCCGCTGCCGGTCTCTAAACAACGTTTTTCGGCCTTTTTTGGACTTTTTGTTATGTTGTATAGAGAAAGGTAAGTACTTTTTCGATGTTGCACTGGATTCGCATTTTTATCTACTAAAATCTGTTGATATTGCATTTCAACAATATTCAATAAAAATCTTTAAAATTATTTCAAAAATATATATTGTTGTTATTTGATTTATAATGGATGAAATTGAAGTTTGGAAAAAATAGGAAAAGGTGAGTTTAAATCAGTGCTAACATATGACTCAAATGAACAGTAGATTGCGTAAAAAATATCTGTATAATAAACTTGATTTGAAATCGTCTATCATTTTTAGCATAATAACACAATTTTGAATAATGTGAATAAGTTAATATTTTTGAGTAATCATTGCAACAAATAAGTGTCGGCCGCATAAATCTGACCATAATGAGAAACAGAATTAGCGGGATTTGGGAAAAAGTTTTTTATTTCTTATTTAAAAAAAAACCGCCGGGTCTTATCTTGATTTTGATCTTAATAATTTGTTCGAAGATTCTAGGGTTGCCTTAGAAACTAATTTCGTGAAAATAATTAGCAGATCCTTATCTCAAAACTGATAGTCCACTTCACGTATGTATAGATAATCAGTCGGATATAACGTACCCGACCTATGCCCAAAAAAAAAAAAAAAAAAATTAAAAAAAGCCGTTTCTTGTTTTTGTTTAAAGTACTAGGAAAAATATTTAATATATAATCCAATATATTACAGATTACTATTTACACGTTCTAATTCATTAAACCTACCCTCTACTTATGCAGTACTAAACTTTCAATATAAAAACTTATTCAAAAAGCTCACTGACAGATGGAAAGTTGATGCATAGTATAAGCATTTGAAAGCTTCAGGTAAGTACGGGTCAATTCGTAGGAGCAAATTTATTGCACATCACTCATTTAGATCAAAAAAACTATAGCGAACAATAAAAAGAAGGTCACTTAACAGATCATTCTACTGCAATCAAATACGCGACGTTTCCTCTATACTGTACTAAGTTATATTCAAAAAGTGGCATAAATATGTATGTATATTTCTCAACTGAGCATTTTTAGCAGTAAACTATAGTAAATCCAGTGCTATACGTTCCGTCAGTTCCCTTAGATATCTTACATATTGACTGATATATATCGTATAAAGCTAACCGGAAGTTTGAGATTCTTATATTGGTTTTATGGCAGTTAAATTGTTCTATCCGAATTTCAATAATAAATCTTACAGATTGGCTGATATTTTCGGTATAAAATCAAGGCACTAAGGTGACACATATCTATCTCTAACAATATACTTAAAAATGTCAGGAATTTATAATATAAAAATAGGAAATCAAGAATGAAAAGAAACAAATCAAATCAAATGACTATTGCTGCTTCTCCTTTTTTACTTCCACGAATTGGCGAATGGTCTCAATTACGCCATTGAATGATCCTAACAACAACAACCAGTTAATTATCGCCCGGCAACCAATAACACCACTGACGAGAATATTCATATAATTTAGGGGCTGTCATTGGACCGGACAGGATATATATATAAGCAGGCTTTAAAGCATTGTAGTTGGAGCACTCTCCGCAACAGCGAGATGAAGTTGTCCAACATGTAAACCATCTCGGTGCTTGGCTTCTGTTCCGTCGCCAGAGCCATGACAGTGAAAAATCAGTTCCGAGGCAGTAAAAGTTAAAAAAAGTATCTACACAATCAAACGCATATGCACAAAGTATAATCACTAAACTGTAACAACTTGTTAGCTGCTTGAATTTCCCAAAGTAAAGTGACGCTGACAAGGTTTGAAGCTGCCCATCATTCGACACAAGCACGTCAGGACTTGTCTCTAATCTGCGCGACGGTTTGAGTTACTAAAAAAAAGGAAAAAATTAATTGTTCCATAAGCAAATGAACAGCAGAAGAGAATCGTAAAAATACACAGATGGTTTGTGTGTATATAGATAGAAGAAGTCGCCGTCACTATCGCCGCTGTTGATTACATAAGTTCCCCGTGGCACTTATACACTTTGGTGCTGGGACAATTGGTGCAAATAAAAATCTTTAAGACCTTTTTTTAGCGAAACGGCAACATGTTGTGCATTAATTAGACAGCCAACTGAGAATGGGAAGGGCAAAACTGAACTTTAACAAGCAAAGTAAATTGTTTTAGTAATAACCGGCAAAAACGCAAAATAAATATTTGAGAAAACATAAAAATCGAAACGTTTCAGAATTATCTTTTAAATCATGGGTGGCGTACCACAGCGCCACCAGCGTGCTGCAAGTTTTTGGAAAATAATCACTTCAAAGTTGGCGGTGCAGTCGCCTGCACTTGCGGCGACGCTACGCATTAGTATTGTAGGCTATTTTTGGAAATGTATGTACAGGTACGTAGTATGCAGTATGTGTGTGTGTGTTGCTTGAGTTTTGTTTATGCATTAGACCATCTATACCATGTGTTCTTTTTCGATTATCTGAAACTTGCAATCAAATGCAAATTAAACGATATTAACTAGTTGCACATACATATCTACACAAGTGTATACCATCTCGATAGCCACTGAGATCCTACTCTCACTTGTTCACTGAAAATTTCGTTTTTGTGCTTAAAACGATTTACTTCCCAATGGCCTTTTTGTGTTGATTTCCGATTCAGAATCTTTAAAAATTATTCAATTCCCAACTGACTGTTCGATTCGCCTACAAGCCGCGCCACATGAACCAGTTACTTCTCTTTATGTTACAAGTCATTCCACGGAATTCCAAAAGCAAACTGAACTAGGCTTATTTTTACTCACCTTAGATGCCGATGTTATCATACTTATATACATATGTATATCTACTACTTCCCTATATACAGAGTATTATATTATAATATGAGCAGGAGAGCTGAAGATCGTTCAAGCACTATATTTCCAGAAAGCTTTGAAAACATATTATTTGTCGAACTTTCTCTCTGTTCGAAAACACTGGTGCCATGTTTCGATATGTAAAATAAAAAGGTTTCTAAAGCATAAAAACCGAAAATTCAATTTATCTGGAATATTTTTAATGATTAACAGTGGCAGGTACCGAAGAAGTTTCAGTTGAAATCTATCCTTCATAATGGTGCACAATCTTAGAATTAGATGCATACATAATATATACGAGTAATATATACCTAAGATGGCTCTTCTGGTGTTCGACAAAAAAGTACTGAAAAATGTTCGAACACTCCCTTTTCGGAAACATCCCAAAAGTTCAGAGAGAATTATTTAAAAATATAATATGAATATTGTTTAGAGATTTTAATGCTATCGATAGGTCTCTATTGACTGAAGGTTTTAGTAAGGCGTTATTTGAGCGATACAAAATAATTTAGAGAGATTTTAGTTCATTTACAGTCTTGGATATGAGCAACGTTCAATGATAGACACTGAGTGAATGTCATGAAATCGTCTTTAGGTGTACAATCCTTAGTAATTCTTCATCGGCTCATCTTTTACTCGAACAATAATTTCGAGAGTAGTTTCAATTGTTTATGCCGGTTTGAGAGATGTTTACAATCTAAATTGAGAGTGCTATGAACTTGTGTTGACGGGGTTCCATATTTGTTTTACGCATGTCCCATTCAGGTTTTAGTTAATCTAGAATTGCTGGAACGTGCTTCAATGTATTTTTTATTGTTATTTCAAGAAAATTTTGCGCACTTTGTGAAAAAACACAATTTTCTCACGCCTCGCATATGCACATAGCACAGTGCTCGCATACGTGCCAGAAAGTGCATTCTGAAGCAAAGAGTTATAGCTAGCCGGTAGACTGGTTCACCTAAAGAACCGTGCTTGTGTACACTAAAAAATTTCAATTACTTTACGTGCTTGCTAAAAATTGTTGAAAAAGTATCATATAGTTTTGAGTTTATTGCAGTTAGCACGTTGTTGCTTTTGGTTAAATTTTGCCAACCAAGTTTTGCTATAAATATGATGAAAAAAATTGAGTTAGCTAATTCTTGTTGGATTTATCAATAGCCTAACATGTTCCGGATCAGCACTACTGCTTTTGCATTACTGTTTGTAACAAGTAAGTTGACACGATAGTAATATAAGTGTCTTAACCGTTCTAATTAATTACTATCCTCATAAAATTCTGCATCCGTTTAGTGCTTTTCGTTAGTGGCGACTGCAGACCACAATTACCTCTTCCAGGGGGTCTACCACTTGGCGTTGCTACTGGAACTTTGACAGGAGCCGCCGGAGGTTTGCCTGTTGTCGGCGGCGTGGCGCAAGGTGCTCTTACACCTGTAGGTCATATTCCGCACATTTTGCCGGTAGTTGGAGGTGTTTTGAATGGCTAATATATTATTTACATAGATTCATTCAAATTAGTGCTAAATGAACTAAAAAATAGTATATTTATTAAATATTACTGGGGTTTTGATAAAAAAAAAATTATTTTTGATTAGATTTGGTGGAGGCAGTAGAGGGGTTTAGATGTTTTATTCCAAAGTAAATTTGTGAATTGGTGTATGTGTTTCGTGCATGTCCCTCTAGATGGGATTACTTTGAATCAGTTATGTATTTTAGCATTTTATTCTTTGTATGCTACTTTACCTCCATGAATGCAAGTGTGAGATCCAAGGTGTTTCTGCATTACTCCCGTAAATGTGGAGAAGTCAAAAGGAAGAAAGTGATTGTGAGTATTATTTCAAAACCCTTCGGAGGAAGACGTGGAGCTTTATTGACTTGCTTGTGTTTACTACGGGCCAGAAGAATCTGCTAGTAGCGGACAAACACCAAGCAGGTGAGGGTTTATAATACAATAAGATGCCAAAATGTGGATACCAACGGAAAAGAGTGTATTTGAAAATTTTAAATTTCAACTGATCCTGGTGAATAAAGCAGTAAGTAATGAAGATATTAAATCTATAAGACCTTTCTGTAAAACTTAGAGATACTTTATTAAATGGTGCATATATAAAAGTTTAGAGCCATAAAATGATTCGGGTAAAGTTGATTGATATCGCCTTCACTTCACGGACATCAAAAGAATATGTTTATCACATCGTTATGAAAAAATGGCCTACAAAAACTTAGCAAAAAGTCACAAATCAATAAAAACGATGGTATATTGCAT